CTTGCCATCAATTTTATATCTCTGTTGTTCCCTTATCCATGAGTTTGTCAGCTTCCCACTTCCCCTCCCTGTCCCCTCCTCTCCCATGTCCCCACCAGGACTGCCAGTCCTATATTGTTTTTTCCCTCTGGATTGCTTGTCCTGCCTATCTGACATAGATAGACATAGCATGAAAGAAAAAAAAAATCCAAACTATATATAGTTCCAGGTCTGTCTGCTGACCCTTATAAATGTTTTCCAATCGGGTCTGATGAGCTGCCAAGCCCTGTCCCTGAGTCAGATTTTTAAATGATGATGGTGATTAAATACTTTGTCCTTCTTAAGTAAATTTATACAAGTGAGTCCGTGTAAAGAGGAGTAAAAAGTAAAGATTACCAGCACAGATAGGCAGATCTGAGAAAAATACAGAAAGCAAAACTGAACAGACTAATTGACAGATTGAGAAAAACTGACCTACATTGTTTCATCAAATCCTCACAACCACCCTGAGTATTGTATATCACAACACTGAGCTAGAAGTCATGTTACTTGTTTAAGTTCACACGGCTTCAGAGGGGCTTGGACAGAGTCCCTGGTCACATGGGAGCTTGCATGCATAGAATAAGGAAATGCCTCTTCAATGTCATGGAGTCTCCTGGAATACGGACACAATGCCGTGAGGGCCCAGGGACACCAACCGGGAGAAGAAGCTGAGGAAGTGTAATAGTACTTGGCCTTTGAAGTATTTTGCCAACTGAGGAAGCATTCCACATAGAAGTGGGAGGGTAGGGAGGTGTTTTTTGTTTAGTTTTGTTTTTCAGGTAACGCATAAAGCAGCTTTGCAGTATGACTCACTTTGCCAAGTCCCTGAGTGTGTATAAGAACCAGGATCCAATAGGCAGTTTCTTACTCCAATCACATGGAGCTGTGGGTTCTTCTCAGAAAACTGTGAGTCTCGGAGAGAAGGTCTGACTGGCTCAACCTGGGTCCCATGCCCACCCACTCATCAGGAAAGAGTAAGCGCCCTGAGGGGTTACAAGTCTACACACAATAAGAGAGGACAGTATGCCTAAAGACATGCTGGGTGTTCGTGCTAGAAACCAAAGGAGCGAGTCCAAAGGGGAAATAAAGACAATGTCCCTTCTACATGGTCACCAGCCATGTGAACCTCTCCCCTCGTTCCCATGTGTCCCTGTCCAGACAGGAGAAAGACCTGCCAACCCAGCACTGTGGTGGGTGAACGGCCAAGGAGATGAGGTGAAATGGAGCTTTGGAGAACTTAGCCTCTTATCTCGAAAGGCTGCCAACGTGCTCACCAAACCCTGTGGCCTCCAGAGAGGAGACCGAGTGGCTGTGATTCTGCCCAGGATCCCAGAGTGGTGGCTCATCACCGTGGCTTGTATGCGAACAGGTCAGTGGCCATAGCCAGCCTTTTAAAAGCATGCAGACATGTAAGACGACGGAAATTCCAGGTTATTCTGAATTGTTAAGTCTGACTGAATGTATGCCTACTGAGTCAAAATTAAGAGCGAGCAGGATGTAGTGATGCAATCGTTATGCAACTACCTTTGTGGTGGTTAGAACCCTGCCTGGTCCTGTGCCATCCTCACAATTGTTTCCATGGCCGAACTCACTGCTGCAGCCAGATGTCAATCCATCTTGTTGAGGGCTTTCCTCTTTTGCCCAGGTCCTTCCCTTTTACCAAGCTGGATGTCCTCCAGGGACTGGTCTCTCCTGACAACATGTCCAAAGTATGTTAACGTGAAACCTCGCCATCCTTGCCTCGAAGGAGCATTTTGGCTGTACTTCTTCCAAGACAGATTCGTTCATCCTTTTAGCAGTCCATGGTACTTTCAACATCTTCTCTAGCACAATTCAGATGCATTGATTCTTCTTTACTC